ATCTCCTCTTTTTTCTGCATTTGTGTTCTTGTCGACACCTCACCCTTCACTCTGTCTCATGGCTTTAAATCCTACCTACATGCTGACAATTCCCAAGCTCCTCTTTCCAGCCCAGACCTCTTTCCTGAACTCTAGATGCGTACATCAGCTCTCTCTTCTTTATTCAGATGTCTAAGAGGCATCTTCAGATTGAACATTTCCAAACCTAATTTCTTGATATCCGCTTCCTATCTGCACCTTCCCCCTCAACCTGCCTTTCCAATAGTCTGGATCATTTTCATTTCAGTAAATGAAAACTCTATCCTGTGAATTGCTCAAAACAAAAACCTTGGAATCATTGGTTCCCTTCTAACCCCTCAGCAAATCCTGTCAGCTGTACTTTTAAAATATATCCTAATCTGACCACTTCTCATCCTCCCCACTGCTACCATCTTGGTTTGAATCACCACTATCTTTCACCTAGATTACTGCAATAGTTTTCTAACAGATCCTTCTGTTTTTGCCCTTGGCTGCAATCTCCTCTTCCCAATTGTCTATTTTTAGCACAGCAGCCAGACTGACTCTTTAACAATGTAAGTCAGATTATAGCACTCTTCTGTTCCAAACCCCCTAACAGCTTCCTATCTCACTCAAAGTGAAAGTCAATGTCATCACAATGGCCTTCAAGATCTCAGCTCCTTAGATTAAACCTCTGACCTCATCTCTTCCCCTTGCTCATTTACTTCAGCTATACTGGCCTTTCTGCTATTCTGCAAATGCCCAGCACTCTCCTCCCTCTGGCTCTTTGCTCTTAGATCCCCTTTCCTGGTATGCCTTTCCCCTACATACCCATGTGGCTTGCTCCTACTCTTCCTCTAGGTCTGTCCTCAAATGTTACAATCTCACTAAGGACTTCCATGAATAATTTAAAATGGCAGGTTATCTATTATACCCTGGCAGGCTCTACTCACCTTCCCAGGCCTAATTTTTTTACCATATCATATATCATCATCTGACATACTTTATATTTTACTTATTTATCAGTTTGTCCGTCTTGCCCCACAGTAATGTAAATTCCATGAGGGCAGGACTTAGAGAGAATGCGCACTTGATAAATATTTGTTGAGTGAATGAATGAAGGAGTCAATGAATAAAAGGATGAGGAAGCTTTCTTATGTTTTAGAACTTCTCCCCTTACCACTTCTTGAACCTTAGCTTTCAGTTCCTTATCTTTGTCAGATTTAAGAATGAGAGATACCAGTCTAAAGAAAATCAAAATGAGAAAAGAATCAAGCAGAGATGAAGCCCTGAAGGAGGAAAGCAGGAAATAGAGATGACAGGAGAGAGAAACGAGAAAAGAGAAGAAAGAGAAACGGGAGAGACAGATAACAAAGGGGAAAGTGAGGCAGAGAGGGAAGGAGGAGGACAACTGTGGGATATTCTTCTTGAATAATGGCTTCACTTAAACTCTAGAGACTGCCAGGTGCGCCATGGGGACTTCGGTGCCCATTCAGACCTCTCCCGTGATGCACCGCCTGGACTCCTGGGTTGCTTTTGTGACTCAGTCCTGGAGAAGTGTATGACAGCTCAGGATAAGAGGATCTCCGTGAAAGCAACTAAAAAGCACACTCACAAAGTCCTTCCAATTTCTAGTTAATCTGCAATGATTTTCGAGGACAAAGTATCTTTTCGAGTCTGAAAATCAACAGTGGGGTCAAAAAGGTCAAAACCATAGCAGAGATCATTACCATAGAGGACAGGGTCTCTCTGTAATTCTGGTGATTATATAGGTGATCTTGATCCTTTGCTCACCCAAGATTTATTCTCCTATTAGAGATTAGAGTAAAGGTGTGTATGAAAAGAGACAACAATACTACAAGCAGAAGAATCCACATCAATGGAATCACTCTAGTTCCTTCATTCTTTCATTACAGAAAGCTTCTATTTTCCACTGGCCAGGAAGCCCATGGAAGTAAAAAACTACAAGAGCCTTGCAGCATCTTGTTAAATAAGTTTTCTGACACATGGCAACTAGTGATTAATTACTGTGTTAGAAGACAACATTCCTACAGAGAGTTGCTGGAAATACAGATGCTGCCCATGCTTGATTAGACATTGCTTAAGGAATGCTGAGGCACACTGCTGCAGTCTACTATTTCTGGATATTTTGGTATCGCTGTTATATTTATTTTACACAGCTTTAAACTCAGTAGAATTGATGGAGCCCATTTCACAAAACCTGTCCCTATCAAAAACAAGAACAGAAAAAAAATAAGGCTATAAAGTGTGTCTGTGTATGCGTGTATGTATAAGAGCAGGAGAAAATGAGGAAGAAGGAGACTATGAATAGTAGGGATATATTCTTCCTGTTTGTAACACTTTCTGCTCTACAAAGAAAGAACTGTGAGGGAGATGGTCTGCTCCTTAGAAGCCTGTAAGAAAACTGACCCACATCAGCTGGTTAAAATTTCAGGGCATAAAGGTAAACTAAACTTTCTCATTATCCAAGCCCTTCACCAACGCCAAAACAAGCTTTGATGTGACATGTATTCATGCATCCAGTGCACACAATGAGCACTTACTGTGGTCCAAGCACTGAGGAAACAGACAGAAAACATCTCGGCCTCTTGGAGCCAATAGTCTAGTAAGGAGATGTCTTCTGAACCAGGACCAGAAGGACAGAATCAGCCAATTCTACATGTTCATGCTAGCCTATTTCCTTTTGTAATCCATTTGATTTAAAGAAAGTAACAAAAGAGTAAAGAGTAATAATAGCAGTACTTGTCCCAAGTGGCCACGTTTCAGCTTATACCCGTTCCTTGGACATCATTCACTAACCCGACTGTGAAAGGCATGCCTTGCTGCCATTCAGTTATTTCCTGAAGAAACACTTTGTCAGCACATGGCCCACCGATGCCACCCTCAATACTGCCCAGCCTGCATTTCATTATTCAGATGCCAGTATTTTTAGTACGTATTTGGGCCCCATACTGTCTGCCAAAACTGTGTTAATTTACTTATTTCAGCTAAATAAAAAAAAATCATTTAAAAAAGGATGATTGAATTGAGGAATTATACTCCTCAGAGAATTAGTAATGCTTCTCTGTATCCCTCAGGCCTCCATGTTCTTAGCTTCCCCTTGTCAATGTTATTATGAATAGACTAATTCAATAATGAGATCATTCCCCATAAGAGCGACCAAATAATGCAGCATTCAGTCACACCTGGTTTCCCTAATCTGAGCAAGGAAGGCTTGCCACCAAATGTAGCCTAAAACAGGGAATTTAATGAATACACACACACCAAGACAAATAGGAAAAAAAAGACAGGGAAGGAGGACAGAAAAGCAGAGGAACAGGGTAGCAATGGAACAAATGGAGTGACAGATCGGAGAAGAAAGGTTAAAAATGAAGATATATGGTTATACGTTTTTCAAAACAAAGACCCTAGCATATATGTCTTAATAATTGTCAAAGTAATACAATATTTCATCATCCCCTTAAATGTCTCAGGAATTGCTTCAAATTTTCTTGAACTTCTCATGGAATCAAAAAATCAAGTGAAAAACAAAGCAGTACTAAATATTTGGCAGGAGCATTCTGCACTGTTAAAAACCAATGACTTCCTAGCCATAAAGGAGCTTATGGAATAATTCACCTAGGTATAAAAAGCAATAAAGCACTAAGAGAGCATAATCTATCCTCTTCAAAACTGTTTAAGATTTCATTAAAGCACCAAAGGTCTGATGATTTCAGTAAGGTGTAGATAGTGTTGAGACCACATGGAGAGAAAATAAAATTAACTCTCAACTTTGGAAAAGTGCATTATAAAGAAACACTAAGAATTGAGATGAGCAAACCTAGAAAAGAGCAAGTGAAAGTGCTATTTAAAAGAAGAACCTCCGATTACCTGAAGGCAGAGCAGGGCCAGAGATGAGTAACCACTCCCCACCCAATAAAAACAAGAAGAGGAGAAGGGTTGCAATTGGAAACGATAGAACAGATAAGGAAATATACGCATGTAAAAATATATTCAACACGTTATTCATGAGACGAAAAAGGGAAAAAGTCCAATGTCTACAAATTTGCAAATGACTAAATAAATCAATTATGGTTCATGTATACCATGGAATATTTGTTCAGGTACTAGAAGTAGTATTTTCAAGGAATATTAATGGATATGAGAAAAACTATGTTTTCAAAGAATATTATTGATATGGGAAAATGCAATTATATGAATATAAAACTATATTAAAATACTTCCAATTTTGTAAAGAGAAATCATATACAAACATATGTGTGGAAACTCACGTATACACACAGCACATGCACAAAAATCAGGAGAAAGTATACCAAATGTCATAGTTTAAAGTCTTATGAGTAATGATTACATTCTTCTTTGTATTTAATTTTACATATTTTATGCACTAAGCATACCTTACTTTAATAATCAGAAAAAAGTTACTGAAGTTTTGCACTAAGAAGAACTTAGGTTAGAGAACAGGAAAAGTTACCTGCCTAAGGGATGTTAAATATCCCACAGAATTTTTTTTTTCTAACATCCATGCCCAACGTCCTCCATTTTATATGTGGGACACCTGCCACAGCATGGCTTGATAAGCAGTGCGTAGGTCCACACCCAGGATCCGAACTGGTGGACCCTGGGCTGCCAAAGCGGAATGTGCAAACAACCGCTGTGCCACCAGGCTGGCCCAAATGTCCCATAGAATTTTATAGAATTACCTTCTCTATGACTGAAGAACATCTATTTTTTTTTTTTTTTAAATTGAGATATAATAGACATAAAACATTACATTAGTTTCAGGGGTACCATGTAATGATTTAATATATGCATATGTTGTGAAACGATCACCACGATAAGTTTAATTAACATCCATCATCTCTGTTTCATATTTTTTTAAACTAACTTTATAAGCACCAAGAATTTGTCTTTAAAAATGACTTTATAGGCAAGGAGTCTCGGTTTTGGTACAAGGAACTGAGCCCAGTCTTCCCTCCTACCTTGCAAAGTCCAGGTCTGCTTCCCGTGACATGGTGATGTTGGTCAAATTCTGCTGAAGAACAAAAATATTTCTACACATTTTCTTGATACCAGATTCACTGATGCGCCTGAAGTACTGGGCACCATTAATGAGGATGCAGGAGATCAGGTGTCCCAGGCCTGAGGGGGTCAGCACAGGGCAGTGGGGTGAAAAGAGAAGATAGGTTAGTGCCATACTGCGTACTCACATACAGGAGCTCTCTCTTCTAATCCTCCACAAATTTAAATGACCAAAGAAAACATCTCTGATGCTTGTAACTGCTGATCTTACAATCATTTTAGAGTTATACATTACTCTAATAGCTGCAAATGGGAAAACTTTATGCTGGCAACAAAACCTAGTATATCCATAGCTCTACCATTGCCATATACATCTAAAGCCACCATACCAGGGCTTAGAGAATATGCCAGGTTGTTATAAACTACTCAAGTGCATAGGACGATTGTTTTTCTGCACAGATATTTTGGGAGCAAAGAACAACACATGTAAATACTATGGTCTGTTTGGTCTCCTCTTCCTCCCACAAAACAGATAGGGGTGCACTTTTGGCTCAGAAGTTGATTGGGAAGCTACACAGGCAAAAAAATATCAATAAGAAATTGGGCTATTGGTACTAATGCTAATATACCTCAACACTGATAACGGACTATATTTCTAAAGTAGTAACTGAAGAGAATGTAATCAGAAAGGAAAAGCAGATTATACATTAACTGTTGAGTTCCCATGAGACACCTATGGACATTTCTGGGGTCTCATAAGTGGTTTGTTCTCACACTGAAAGGACTGTCTTATGGTCTACGAAATCCGGCAAAGGGTACCTCAGTACATTAACAACTAAGAGGTCCCATTCAGATTAGCCTTTGTAATTAAGTTGAGGAACGCTGGTTCCAAACAACCTTAGGGACGTGTGGGTTACCATTTTTAAAAGTTACATTTTAATTCTAAATACTTGCAATTAAGTAAAGTTGTCTTCCATCTTTTGCCCTTATTCTTGCAAAGTTAGACTGAAGTAGGAAATTTCCCCTAGAACTCTACAGCTAGTCTGGCTACTAGCAAGAAGTCTACTATTTTTGTTACTTTCCTCTGCTAAGCTCATAGTCCCTCCACGGTGACCGTGGTCCAGACCCAAGCTTAGGCACATCTTCAGGTTCAGTGGCTCCCTCTGTCTTCAAAATGAGTTTTCCTTTTTTAGGGTGAAGTTGGAAAGGACGAGGAGGACGCATTCTCTCCTGCTTCAGCTACACTCACCCAACTGTTGCTTTAAGACCACAAACTCACTTGTATGTGCTACTACGTGAAAGTGAAGTTTTTTACTCAAAGGATTTTACACGTGGATTTTACAGTTAGATAATTTATTTATGTGAAAAATCTCTATGGGTCAAGAGATTTGGTGTGACTCTTCTGAGCCCATATCTTCAGGTATAATTTTGTTCTGCCGTGGTATAATGCAGCCTGCCCTAAGTGTAGGCAATGAGGAGACGCATTATTTGTAGAGAATAATAAATAATAATAAACAAATTTATATAATAGGTATAATAAATAATAATCAACAATAAAACAAATTACAAGTTGGTTTGCTTTATATTGTCACTATGCATCAGCCATTCTAACAGTATCTGTGATAAAGTACTCCTCCCTGGCACATCAAGGAGGATTGAGACCACTGACTCTTCCCCCTGCCTTGGGAAACTCAATTATTATGCCTTTTGAATTTAGAAAATTATATCCAGAGAAATCACTAGGTTTTTAAACAGGAAGTCTCAAATTTATGAATTCTTAGTTAAAATCTTTTCTGTGTCAGAGGATTACATCTGTATTTCAAGATGTTGTTGCTCAGAAGGATTAGATGTTAGGAAATGTCCAGGCCAAATGAAAAGAAGACTCTGGAAACTGCTGATATGGAGGGCTTGAAAGAGCCACAGTCAGAGTAAGGAGGAAGCTCTGTGTAGGAAGGGAAAAGCAACTTCCCAGATGGGCATTGTAGCTTCAAGAAATTCACAGTGCCGTGGGGCTAACTAACGCCTAACTATTGAATCGCATACTTTTTGGCTAAACACTTTTAGGGGCATTACCATTCAGACCACATCTCCATCTTTATGACATACTTTAATGGGAAATTAAGATTTTGGGGGGAGGTCCAAATTTGCTGGAATATAACTGTTTCATAAACAAGCAATGGCCATGCACTGACGCTTTCTTTCCTTACTTCAGGTTGCCACAATCCTTTGGACAATGTGCCTTCTTAATTGTTTTAAGTAACATTAGTTTAACTCTGTGAGAGACCATAGATGCTTCTGGCACCCAGGTCTACGTACAAACCAAAATAAGAAAAAAGGGAATATAATTTGAAGCCTAACGGGGGTCCTATGGTAGAAATTTAGCATGAAAATTATTTGGCTGGCATCACATTTTTCAAAATGTTGCAGGTGAACGCCTTGAGATGGTCCCGTCTTTCACACCCGTGCTTGCCTGCCTGAGCCTGAGGCATTTAGGGATGCGGCCTTCCTAAAATCACCGTTAATCGGAGGTTTCTGTTCTTTTCAGACAATAACACATTCTCTAAAAGAAAACGTCCCCTTCCAGTGATAATTTTACCTAACGCAGGATCTTTCAGGGTTCTCTCCTCATTGTATGTTTCTTTTTCTTTTATGAGCTCCTCTTGAGTTAATTCATGGCCCACTCCACATATTTACCCAACTCTCATGAGTGGCATGTCAGGGAGGCAGCTGGGCTGCCATCTTCCTTATCTTGGATTAAATCTCCTTATCAACCAGGAGCCATACTGTTGTCTACCTAGCCATACATAGAGAAGCTAGGTATTGTAGTTTTAATTTAAAAAACAAACCAACAAAAAACCCCAACCTTTTTCTACAAGTTTTGAACTTCAATAATACAGAAAAATCATGAAAACCTTCACCCTTCCTTCTCCCCAAACTCCCAGGAGCAGAGGCAGGGTCTGACCTTCAAATATATACTGGAACTTGTGCTGCTGCAGGCTGGCGCTCATGGCCTCTTCAATGGCGCTGATGTCTTTGTTGAGCTTGACCACCAGAGGGTCATAATCCATACTTTCCACATTGGCGACAATGGCATAGTTCCCCTCCTTTGCAAGGGGGATGAGATAGTGGAAACAGTGAACCCTGAGAAAGAGAGAGATGGGGAGAGCAGTTAGTAATAAATCTTTCTGATGAAAATAATGATCTTCTTGTGACAGAGTGACCAAATATTTAAAGCAGCAGTGACCCTGTAAATATTTACGTACTTCTTTCCTTTTTCACCAAAAGCCATCTTAGCTATTCGGCAGAACAGCTGAGCGATCTTGAGCAAGTCAGCTTCTGTGATTTTCGCTTGTTTAATCCATGCATTGGGGGTAGGAATGGATGAATTCCTTTCAATGACAGGACTATATGCGTAGTCTGAAAAGCACTATATTTTTCAACAGATATTGCCGTAGTGAAAACGAGAGGCAGAGCTCACAGATCTTAAAAGTGTAGGCTTTGGAATGAGACTACTTTGGTTTCAATTCCCAATTCCAATGTTTACTAGCTGTGTGACTTTGGGCAAGTTACCTCCTGTCTCTGTGTCACAGTGTCCTTATCTGTGCAATGGGGATAATAACAACACCTACCTCACAGGATGCGCTGAGGAGCTACTGCATATAAAGTATACAGCACAGGGCCTGGCATTACTATTATATTTATTATTGCTAAGCTATTACTTAAATAAAATGCTTACTAAACATTACGCACTTGTTAAAAATTGTCCTAGGCCCTGGCAATCTAAGACACAGTTTGTGCCCTTAAAGACATCACAGTCTAATGTGGATAACAACAACAACAACAAAAGATCAAAAGAGGGCAGTGCCTCCCTCAGAAGCCCACGTACCCAGGGTGCCATGGAAATCTGCTGTGGGGCATCAGGAAAGGTTCAAGAAGGAGATGATACTCGAGACACATAAGAGGGATCTGAGTGAGCCTGAGGAAGGCGTGTATTTCTATGTTGAAATGGCCTGAGTCAGTTTGGTCATATACAATTCTTAGGTTCTTTTTGGTAAATATCGGTAACTGCCAAAGTCGGAGGTGGGTAAGGATAGATTACTCCATAACCTTTGTATTATGATGTAGTGAAAGCAGGTTTCAGTCCAAATAACTCTACCACATATACAGGTATTTATTTAAAAACAAAACCCACCATACATTGGTAAATACAGTTCAAACGGGCTGTTCTGTAAGCTCAGTGAAGTGTCCGCTCTGTTGTTTTGGGTGCTCTGTCTGCCTGATCTTGTCATGGAATGTTTGCTGGGCATAGACAAGACGACAATCCAGAGTCAGGATTCTGTTACCCTTATTGTTGGCATCAGCTAACAAGAAATATTCCTTGACAAATGGCTGCAAAAGCCTTGGGCATTATCCCTAGTGATGCACCTACAGGTTTGACTATCATCTTTCTTTTCCTAAGTCAGGTTTACTGAGAAATAATTTACAAACAGTGAAACTTACCCTTTTCAGTGTACCGTTGCCTACAGCTGTATAATCGCCACCATAATCAAGTTATAGACCTCTACCATCACCCCCAGAATTCCCTTGCACCCCTTTGAGGTCAATCCCTACTCATACCCCAAGGCTCTTGCAACCACTGATCTATTTTCTGTCCTTATAGTTTTGCTTCTTGCAGAATGCCATATAAATGGAATCACTGGAGTATGTAGGCTTTGGAGTTTGGCTTCTTTCACTCTGCCTAAAGTAGCTGAGATTAACCCATATTGTTGTTCATTCCTTGTTATTGCCGAGCAGCCTCCTCACCTATGGACGTCCTGCAATTTAACCATTCAGCAGTTCACATCTGCATTGTTTCTAATTTGGGGTGATTATGAATAAAGTTGCTTCATGTACAGATTTTTGTGTAAATATAAATGTTCATTTCTCTTGGGAAAATACCTGCAAGTGGGATTGCTGAATCATTCAGTGAGTATATGTTTAATTTTATAAGACACCGCTAAACTGTTTTCCATAGGAATTGTGCCACTTTCCTTTCCTACCAGCAATACACAAAAGTTCCAGTAGCTCCACGTCCTCACCGGCACCTAAGTGTTGTCAGGTTTTTTTTTCTTGAGGAAGATTAGCCCTGAGCTAACATCTGCTGCCAATCCTCTTTTTTGCTGAGGAAGACTGGCCCTGAGCTAACATCTGTGCCCATCTTCCTCTACTTTATATGTGGGATGCCTGCCACAGCATGGCTTGCCAAGCAGTGCATAGGTCCACACCGGGGATCCGAACTGGTGAACTGCAGGCCGCTGATGTGGAACATGCGAACTTAACAGCTGTGCCACCGGGCCTGCCCCTAGGTCTTGTCAGTTTTAAAAAAAAATTTCAGCTTTGTTGATGTGTAATTGGCATATAAAATTGTAAGATATTTAAAGTGTACATCATGGTGATCTGATATTTGTATACTGTGAAAGGACTCCCTCCATCTAGTTAATTAACACATCAATCACCTCACATACTTATCTTTTTTTTTTAGTGAGAACATTTAAGTTCTATTCTGTCAGCAAATTTTAATTATACAGCACAGTGTTATCAACTATAGTCACCATGTTATACGTTAGATCCTCAGACTTTATTATTCTTTCAAAGATTTTATTTTTTTCCTTTTTCTCCCCAAAGCCCCCCAGTACATAGTTGTATATTCTTCGCTGTGGGTCCTTCTAGCTGTGGCATGTGGGACGCCGCCTCAGCGTGGTTTGATGAGCAGTGCCATGTCCGCACCCAGGATTCGAACCAACAAACCACTGGGCCGCCTGCAGCAGAGCGCACGAACTTAACCACTCGGCCATGGGGCCAGCCCCCTCAGACTTTATTATTCTTATAGCTGAAAGTTTGTACCCTTTTACCAACCTCTCCGTTTCCCCCACCCCCATCCACCACTTATCTACTCTGCTACTATGAGTTTGACTTTCTTTCTTAGATTCCACATATAAGTGATACCATGCAGTATTTGTCCTTCTTTGTCTGACTTATTTCACTTAGTATCATGCCCTCAAATGTCTGTCAGTTTTTTAAAAAAAATTTGTCATTCTAATAGATGTATAGTGGTATCTCACTGTGGTTTGAATTTGCATTTCCCTAATGACTAATGATGTGGGAATATTTTCATGTGCTTATTTGCTATCCATATATCTTTGTGTTCATGTCATTTGCTTAACTTTTTTATTGGGTCGTTTTTTTCTTATTATTAGCTTTTGAGAGTTCTTTATATATTCTGAATATAGGTCCTTTATTAGATATACATTTTAGAAATATTTTTCTCCCAGTTTTCGGCTTATCTTTTCATCTTAACAATGTCTTTCAAAGAATAGTTTTAAATTTTGATGAAGTTCAATTTATCATTTATTTCTTTTATGATTGGTGCTTTGGGTATTGCATTTGACAAATCTTTGTCTAAACAAAGTCAAAGATTTTTTTCCTATGTTTTCTTCTAGAAGTTTTGTAGTTTTAGGTTTTACATTTAGATCTATGATCCATTTTGAGCCAAGTTTTATGTAGGATGTGCTATATTCTTATAACCTACTCATGTAAAAGAATCCAAATATCTTGACTACCAGTTCATTTCAACGATGTCTGATCATCTTATCATCTGGTAATCAACTAATGACTAATTTCACCAATAAAAACTCATTCTGACATTCATGTGCTAATTGGCAAAATGTATAGTTTTGATCAAGATAACAGTAACTACATCATTTGCAGCCCTCTCTGGAATGTGACCTTTCTGATATCATGAAAGTTGATCAACCCTGGAGTGGGATTCACGACTAGGAAACTGATTGCTACTTGGTTGAAATTTAAACTAAGTAGCTCTTAGTTGAAAATAAAGTCAAGCCATCAATGCTAAAGCATTTTTACAGTAAATTACAGATGTCATAACTCTAGACAATGGGAAGACCACGTACAAAGCCATGAGGGTGTGAATGGAGGACAGTTTTAAGGAGTGATGAGTGGTTCCTTCTGGTACACATGGATCACATGACAGAGGCATGAGGTGAGCTTGGGAAGATGGGCAGGGGCCAGGTCATCATAAGCTTTGGAGGCCATCGAAGGACTCTGGACTTATTTGAGAAGCCACTGGGAGGCTTAGAAGGATTTTAAGAGGTGAAATGATATAATCAAATATCAGCATTGGCAGGATCTCTCTGGCACAGTGTAAAGGGTGGATTGACGGTGGAGAACAGAAGCAACTGGAAGTAGAGAGACCACTTAGGAAATCACTATGAATTGGAGTTGAGAGCTTAGGAGATCCTAAAGTAAGTGGCAGAGAGGAGAGTTAAACACTGTTTTAAGGTGCTATCTTCCCTTCTCAAAATGACTAGAGACAAAAAAGAAATTAAAATAGTCACTGGCAAATGTCAAATTCACATAGTGTTTTTTTTCCTTTTGAATTCTGGCATGTTGTTGCCGACCTTAACATGACTTTGGCATTAAGGTTTTCTGCAAATATTGCTGATTGCACAGCGGGATGGTTGATTTTTAGAAAGTAGGCACTTAGGATCCCAACAGTGACAGGCAGTTGCTGTTGAAGGCACTTAGAGCCCTCCTGATGGTGAGAGAAATCAGCTGATAAAGGTGACATTCTTGGCATCTTGGACTCTAACGGCAACTTAATTTTTTTCTTCTAAAGTTCAAATAGGAAAAAAAACTCAACAATTTTTAATGGCCTCACCATGTCTTTCATCTCTTGAGGGTGTCATTTGCATTATGCTTCAAACTGTGGGAAGGCGTTGCTTGGTGGTTACATGTGACCTACAGTGACACAGGTAAAATGTCAAATGCTCTTTGGATGGGTCCTTCAACATAGAACCTACTGGATTTGAGAACACGTTTTGGTTTGAACTTTAACAATGTTAAGGAAAAATATGGGCTATGGATATAAACATATTTCAGGGAATAAGACAAACTTTTGGCATTTGAGGTTGTTCTGGACTTCTTGCTAGTATTTCCCATTAATTTTTTGTCTGTTCTATCTGTGCTTTCTTATTACAGTGGCTTCTTGGGTAAAAGTGCCAGAGACAGTGTCTAACCAGCCACTTCTTCATCGCACCAGCTCTTGGATGACAGGGCCAAAGTTCTAATTTCCTTTTACAACAGGATGGGAACAAAACAAACAACTGATTATGATGACAAGAATGATGTTGGACATGCAGTCTCTGTACCTCTTAAATACAAGTAGTGGGCTACCAAGTGAAAACAGAATCTCCAATCAATTCATCTTTTTTCTTTTTTTTGCTGAGGAAGATTAGCTCTGGGCTAACACCTGTGCCAGTCTTCCTCCACCTTATACGTGGGTTGCTGCTGCAGAATGGCTGACAAGTGCCCAGGATCTGAACCTGCGAATTTGGGCTGCTGAAGTGGAAGGCACCAAACTTCACCACTACATCACAGGGCTGGCCCCTCAATTCATCTTCTTTAACAAGCAACAGGTTTTGTTTGGGGAAACAGCACTTATTTTATCTTGGTTTGGTTTCACACCAGCTAATCCTCAAGAGTCACTGAAGTTTTTATTGAGTACCTATTATGCAGCAGGACTATTGCAGGTTCTGGGCCATAACAATGAACAAGGCACACCTGATGCTGCCTTCTGGGCCCTAACAGCCTCCTCTGCAGTCACCCACTGTGGGGACCCAGAGCACTCAGCAGTCTCCCCTCTTTGAACATTATCATACTACAGTATAATGATTTGCTTGAGATGTGTCTTATTCATTTTGCACCATCAACTGTACAAACCAGGGGAAAAAAAGCTTGTTACTGTGACAAGGAAGGAATAAAGCGTGTCAACATTCACTCTCTGAGCTATACGTGGAGTGTTCTGCCTAGTTTTATGTACCATACTTCAACAAGAACAAAGACGAAAGGGAGCATATTCATAAGAAAGCAACCTGAATGTTGAAACTATGTTATATGAGGAGGTGAGGAAATTTAATTTAGAAAAAGTAAACACGTTTAGTGTTCTTAGTAAAAATAAGGAAAGATAATTCTGCATCCAGGACTCTAAAACTCAATCTTTTTGATATTCCTTCTTAAAATGATCTTTTTCTGTTTTTAAAATAATGCTGAAGGAGATTTAGCGGTGGGTGTTTCAGCACTGACTTGTTTCTCGTAAAGTTAATAAGTAATGCGTAAAGTATGTTCAGCATTATTAGGAATAGGACCGCCAAGATGTACAAAAATAAAAAGGGCACAATAGAGGTGAAGACTCAAATGTGTTGAAAATATCCCACTCGGAATTCACTACACTACAAGCAAATAATTCCTAATGTCGAACACCTCGTGCACCCACACAATCAATAGCATAAATTCTAGGAGCTGTGATAGTAATTAATTTGATGTTCCCTTGTCTTTCTGTGCAACCCAGGTAACAGAGGTATCAGAATGTTACTGGCTGATTTTTTTTTCTGTCTATTGCATTTATCTATTCATAGAAAACACCTGATTTATTTCACTGTCAGCTTGTAAATAAATAGAGAGCACATCTAAAAATTATCATAAAACAAATCAGAAAACATAGAGGAAAAGTCTTTATTTCTGGATAGCTGAATGTAAGAAATAAGATCAGAAATAATGATGAGTAAAATAAATTCCAAATCTGCAATGCTATTTCTTACTCCACTCACAAATGCTCACAAGCAATACAGAAGTAACTCATTGTACAAGATAATGAAGAATGAAAAAAGCAAGTGGCATACAAAAGAAGTGACATCGAAAATACATTATCAATTAGGCTTTGCCTGAGCACACCTGAAAGATATCCAAGTTCTGACTAGAGTCCAAATGTATGAACCAAAGTCCTGTTTACATTTTTAAAACCTAAATTTAGTAAAGACTCTAAATGAAAAGATACTCTATCAACTTTAATAATGTCCCATGATAATACAGGAGAAAATATACTACTGTACCCTTTCTGATCCTGAGGTTTCTGATCCTGAAGTTTCAACAGTATACATCCAACTGTCTGTCTGACATTGCTACCTTGATATCTAATAAGCATCTCAAGCTGCATGTCTCCAAAACGGAATTCTTGATGTCTAGCCCTCCCCAACCTCTCCCCGCTCTGTCTTTCTCAGCTTAGTTAATGGTCCTGGCATTCACATAATTGCTCTGGCCCAAAGCTTGTGGTTTTCCTTGAATCCTTCTTTTCCCTCACTGCCACCAGCCCCTGTGCCCAATCCAATCTATCAACAAATGTTATCAGCTCTACCTTCAGAACACATCCCAAATCTAACGCTTCTCACACCTTCACCTCCGCCACTCTGGTGCTCATAACTGGTCTCCACTGGTCACTCTGTTTCCATTCATATTTCTCCCTGTAATCCCTTTTCCATACAACAGCCAGAGTGATCTCTTAAAAATAGGAATGAACGAATTGATGAATCTCTCTCCTCTGCTTTAAAACCTCCCATGGATTCTTAATGCACTTAGAATAAAATTTGAACTATTCACTTGGTCTGTAAGATGCCACAAGGTGTCGGGCTCCATGACCGCCACATGCTCAGGCTCAGCCTGCCTCTTTACCTGTCCCTCCACTCCTCCCCTCTCCTTGTTCACTGGGCTACAATCACATCGGATTCCTCTCTGTTCCTCAAAACTATCAAGCTTGATTTTGTCTCAGGACCTTGTGAGTGCTGCTCCCTCTATCTGAACTCTTTTCTGGTAGGTCTTTGTACAGATGCCTCCTTTTTGTTGCCTTGTCAGTTTCTCTGACCACTCCATCTAAAAAACAAAAAAACAAATCCTCCTTTCTAGTCGACCCCAGCCGCTCTCTGCACTGTCCAGTATGACAGCACTAGCCGCATTTGGCTATCGAGCACTTGAAACGAGACTAGTCCAAATTTTGATGTGCTGTAAGTGTAAAATATGCAGACTTCAAAGGCTTAGCGCAAAAAAATGCAAAATCTCATTAATAATTTTATGTTAATTACACATTAAAATGATAATATTTTGGACTACTGGGTTAGATAAAATATATTTTACGTTTCCTTCCACTTTCTCAAGTGTGACTATTAGAAAACTTAATTCATCTGTGTGGTTCACATGTGTGGCTCACCTTATATTTCTATTGGATAGAACTGCTTGATTCCATTATGCTATTTTGGTTTTTTAGTTGCACTTATCTGAAATTTTCTTTTTTGTTTACTCATTGGCTGTCCTGCGGCCTCCCTCCACCCTCTGCCCCCTCAGTAGAATGTAGTTCCATGACAGCAAGGACCTAGAGTGCTTTTTTTCATTGCTGTATCCCAATTTTTAGAGCACAGCCTGGCACCAAGAAGGCATTCAACAAATATTTATTGAATGAGTAAATGAATGATTGAAGATTTCCTAGTCCTTTCTTCCTACCATTTCCAGAGGTGTGATAATAGCTAATCAGAATATTATCATCAGATAAAAGCTAATCAGAATACTCTACAATGCAGAGGAAGGAATAAGAATCCAAGAGTATGGCATCTTTGAAACTATTTTCTTCAATTATCATTTAACTTAATCTCTTCAATTGGGTTTTAAGTTCTTGAAGAAAGGGATCATGGTTCTTGCATCTCTATACTCCCTCCTTGATTAGCAGAGTTACTTAGTAAAAATGTCAGTGATAATCAAGTCACCATAACTGCACAGCTACCACATGTGACCACTTACTATGTGGCAGGCATTATACTAATTATTTATTATTTCATTTACAAAGTCTATAAGTTAGGAATTATTGTTTCATTTTTAAGACAAAGAAACAGGGTGAGTAAAGTTAATTAACTGCCTTAAGATGGCCTAGCCAGCTGGTAGAGACATTCAAATTCAGATCATTCTGATACAAACTCTGAATCACCATATTCACAATACAGCATGTGCTTAAAAACTTTAACAGTGACTGAATAACACTAAAAATCACTTTCAGTGTAAAAAAGGCACAATGTCAATAATAATCATAATCAAAAATTATGGTGATACTCTCCAGAAATAAGCAAGGGATTTATGACCCACAGTGCATGTAAATCACAAAGTCTTGTACTTGGCTGTGTCATACCTGACTTCCAGATGTAGGACCAGCAAGCAGCGGTCAGCCATATCCTGGAAAGATCTGGCAAGTTCGCTCAGAGTCTGCATGATCTGCTCTGACACTGGGGGGAGGTCCATGTTCACGTGGCTCTCTGGAGCAGGAGACATCACTAAAAGAAGGGGTGAGGACAAAACACCAAGCATTTTATTAGATGCCTACAGGTTTTTTTGAAATGACATATTATTTTGTTGCTCATCATGCTGTTTTTACCAATTTGGCTAATGCTAGTGTTGGCAGCATTAGGCATCCAAGACATGTTGGACTATTTTTGTACTTGATTAAACACAGAAGCCCAGCTGATTGTCTTGAATCAATTCACAGAATGATAGAAACAGAATCTCAGAGTTGGAAGTGAACTTAGAAGTCAGTCATCTGGGCCCCTCACGAGGTCTATGCTTGTACAATTTGTACATCTTCAAGTGGCTGTTCAGCCTCTGGTTGCACATCCACACAAACATTTGTGAAAGGAAACTCAATAGCTTTTGAAGCAGCCTATTCCATTTCTGAAAGATTTGACCGTCTAGCATCAAGCCATATCTGTCCTCATTAACTTCTAATCATTGGCCCAGATTCTACCACCCTTGCAATCATTCTCATGTGTGTCAGTACTTCAAGTATTGAAGATATCTCTTTTGGCTTCCTTGAAGTCTTCTCTTTTCCAGGCTAAACGTCCCCAGTTTTCCAACTACCTTCAAATAATCAGACTGAGTCATTTTACACTTCTCATAATTCAGCAAAAAACATTCTAATGGTTCTATATTTCCCTCAAAATGTGGGATTCAAGACCAAACATAATGAATACAATAGAGTGGGCTGCCTTGACTAGAAAGACTGATTAATTCTCTTGTTCTAGATGCCAGGCTGCTTGCATGTCAGCCTACAATCTTCCAGGCGTTGAGGGGAGTGGCGGTGTGTTGTATTCTACTTTAACTCACAGAGAGCTTGCAGTCAGCTAAAAGCCTTAAAAAGGTCTTTTTGGAAAATTTGATAAAGCTACTTTCTATATCTCTCTCAAATAATTGATAAAATATTTAACAGTACTCCAATATTTTCTTCAGGAAAAATACCAAAGAGCAAAAATGTGAACTATGTTTTTTTTTATGTCTAGACTTCTTTTCTCAAAGATCACCAACAATAATTTGGCAGTTTCATTCGAAAGCTCTTTTGGTTCTCTAGAGCCTCAAAGACTGGCTTTGAGTCTTGGCTCCACTACTTACTGATTATGTGACCAAGAGCTAATTACTTCTATTCTGTCTGCCTCAGTTTCTTCTTCTGTAAAACGGAGATAATAGTACCTACAGCATGGGGTTGTTGGGAGCATTGAATGGGTTAATGTAGACAAAACACTTAGAACAATAGTATATAAAACTCAATGTTAATATACATAATACACGCAAATAATTATTATTATTCTTTAGTATGTGATTTGTCTAGGTTAAGTGTCTTAAGATCAATTACAGCAACAAAGTACTTAAAAGATAATTCTATCCATCTTGAAGTTCAATTTCCATTTGTCAGTATTTTTTGCTTTTCCACCTGAAAATTCTTCTCCCTATCAGAGGATGCAGTGTCCTTTGGAAGAGGGCTCCCCGGACTTAGAGCACATGGCATTTGGTGAGGTACTACTGACTAACGCAGGAGGTGTTCACCTTACAGGGTAGGGAGTCAACATCTGGCTGCAGCAGTATCTACAGTTACTGGCTTTCAGTGCTGCGTCTATTCCTAGACTCTGCCAAGCCCAGAGGAGAGCCCAGAGGGATGGTCAAGACTTATAAGGCCAAGTGGAACCAGACTTTAATAAATTAAAATACCACACAAACATTAAAAAATGAATTTTGTTCAAGGGAACTGACGTGTAAGGAAGAAGAGAATGTAGTGACGTAGATTTAAAATTTTACCAGCCTTGGCAGCATCTAAGATATTCACTAACGTGATTTGCAGGACTGGATGTGTGACATTACATGTCCTCTCTAATTTAACATCATTCAAGTTGTTTGATTGCCAGGTGAGATCACCGTCTTCATAATGTTTCCATTTGGCAGGATGTACGAAAGCAACTGTAAGTCAACATTGTTCTAATATTTCAAAGCATTTTAGGGCTTTTGAGCCTCTGGATTCCTCTGTTGTGTGACGCTAACTGTGGCATGGTGAGGTATCTATACAGCAATGAAAAGAGGAAGAAATCAGACTTTGAAGAAATCAGACTCGAGGTCTGAGGTCCAAAGCTATACCATGTAATCTCCCAAACCTTATCAAAGGCATTCTGGACAAATTCCACCAAGAAAGTTAAAAAAGTCTCCCTTTCTTATCATAGAAATATACAATTTCATCATGTGTAGCCAATGACCACTGCCAAACCGTGCAAATTAAAAAAAAAAAAAATCCAAGTAGAGGAAGTTAACAGCAAGATAAGCAGCCAAGATAAAACTTGCAAAGATTGAGGTAAAAGTAGTTTAGAATAGCATCATGCTGTACATTTTGCTCAACCATAATCTAAAGCAAAAACACATCTTAGTAAAGCAGCATGAAAAATTATGCCCAGAACACTTTTGAAAAGCTGGCTTGTGAATTCCTCAGGGTTGACTGAAATTTACGAAGTTTTCTTAACAAGAAAGAATACACTGAGCACAGAAATGCTGAGCACTGCAAAGACAACACCAAACAATTAACTAGCTCTTAAATGTCAAATGGAAATCTTCAAAAAAAGCAATGCTGACAGAATCTGCTTGGGAGATTATAGTCAGGATAGGAGGTTACTGGACACACACATGCACACACATTTGCACATACCGTTTTAGAGGCTATGATGGCTGTTATATTTATCTCAGGCATTGCTCTTCACATTGCCAGAGCCCACATATGTTGGGCTTTAAAAATATTAGTACTTGATCATTTTATCAAGATATGGACTTTGAGCTGTTTTTCTAATGCTGTGGATCGGTCATATCAGATCATTCATATTATCTTTGTTCCTCTTATAACCATTGCATAAAAGCAGGCATTTTTGATACTCCTAGCTAACTCTTTGCAGCGAGGTAACTGCAGCTTTCTGTACTAAATTGATTGGTCTATATGAGGAAGCTGAAACTTGTCTCTGGCGCAGACACTGCTCGTTAGGTGAACCAACTGGTATTTCCTTCCAATTCTCCTTCGCTCATTAAACTATAGACTCTAAAAAGCTACACGTTTGCATTCCCAGCTTTGTTCGCAGCTAGACTTGGCCATGTGTCACCATCTGACCAATGACCCTCTAAGTAGATTCTTCTGTGGCAACTCGATCTAACCCTAGGATAATCCTGCAACTCATCTTCTGACAGGGAAACAAAAGTACGGATTGTTGCCACTAAAATTTTCTGGATTTTAATTTCAAAAAGGTCCTCAATACCACTTGTCAATCCTTCACTAGTTTTTGGCTAGCTCTTTTCCCTTTCTCAGCAACTTTCCCAAATTCATGCTGCTCTCCCCAGGCTTTTTGTCCTTCCTACTCTCTGTTACTCCTCTCTCGAGGACCTCAGATTCTTATTAAGACTTCACAAGAACTGTCAACACTTGCTGTCTCTGTCCTCTTGCCTTCTACTAACTCTTCCATGTGCCATAATCTGATTTCTGCCTTCACTTCTTTACTAAATAACTATTCTGATAATTGTCATCAATGCTATTCTAATTGCCAGATCCACTGGGCAGTTCTCAGTCCTAATCTCAGAAAGGCTCTCCGCTACCTTCAACGTGACTGGCCATCTCCTTCTCGAAAGTCTGTTTCATACGGCACCATATTCCTCTGGGTGTCCTCTTACCCCCCTGACATTGTTACATCATCTTCACAGTGCCCTTCACTGGGCCCTCTTCCTTTAGCCCACCCATAAACGCTGGTGTTCCCAGGGACTTTTTCCTCTATTGGTCTCCCTTGTCATTCTAAATGGTCTCTAAGGGTGAGCTCATCCATTTTCACGGTTTTTGCTATTATGGAGGAATTGATGATTCCTGAACTTCATTTGATCAACTGTTTGCAAGCTATCTTAACCTGTATATCCCACAGGCATCTCAAATGCAATGTGTTCAAAACCAAACTCATTATCTATCCTTAGCATCTGTTCTTTATCCTGAATTCCCTTTCTATCAGCAGTATAGTAATCTGGGAATCTCAGCTGCAAACGTGTGAGCAATCTTTGAATCTCTCCTCTCCCTCACTCTCCTCAGCAAAGACTAATTTTTCCAACTTTATTTCCTAAATGTTTTCTTAATATACTTTGTCTTTTCTATGTCTACTGTCACTTTCTTTTTTAGCCCTCATCTTTCCCATGGACTACTATAATAGGCTCCTGACTGATGTCTTTGCCTCATGCCTGGCCCCTGCCTTAATTCAATCCTCCATATTTACCTAATTAAATGTGAGTTAGACAAAGAAAGTTATTTATCTAAAAGACAAATTTGACTATGTTAATTTCTTGTAAAAATAACATCAATGTTTCCCATTGCTTATATAATAAAGTCCAAGCTCCTTAGCAAGGCTTTCCATGATTTCTAGTTTCTGCCCAACATCTCAGTTTTTCTCCATCTTTCACCACTCTCTCTTTCCTCTTCAATTTCTCCCCTCCCCAACCCTGGCCCTTTGACCCACCACTCTTTTAAAGTACATTCCCTAAACATATCATGGTGTTTCAGGATTCTATACCTTTGATGGCTTTTATTCTTCTTTCTATACTATTCATGCTTTCTGGCTTACAAAGCCTTTCCTGGGGCTGGCCCAATAGCCGAGCGGTTAAGTTCACATGCTCCGCTTCAGTGGCCCAGGGTTTCACGGGTTTGGACCCTGGGTGCTGACATGGCACCGCTCATCAGGCCCTGCTGAGGCGGTGTCCCACATAGCACAACAAGAGGCACTAACAACTAGAATATACAACTATGTACTGGGGGCTTTGGGGAGAAGAAGAAGGAAAACAAAAAGGAAGATTGGCAACAATTGTTAGTTCAGGTGCCAATCTTTAAATAAAGAAAAAAAAAGAAAGCCAGAAAGCCTTTCCTCATTCTTCACGCAGGGTCATTGGCTCTTCTGGGTGTTTTTTGTTTTTTTCCCCACATAAATTTACTATAGTAGTTATCATATTCCAT